GCCCCCCCCCCCCCCCTACCCGTTCCTACCTCAACACCCCACCCAAAGCAATCCCCTTCAATACATTTTTTTTTTTTTATCAATTCACTTCGCACTAGATCATTCACCATTGATGAATGAAGAACCCACTTGTATATAATAAGTCATACTTGAATTATAGTAGGTCGAAAAGAATTGAAGAGAAAATATATTAGAAGGAATCTCACTTCTAAAGCAAGCGAGATGGACGAAGGAAATAAATAATTGCAGCAGTTAATTAAATCAGATCGGAGCAGTTGCAGATTATGCTAACCTAATCAGTTGCAGATTACTATTGTCTTGTGGGTAATCGAATTGATCCATAAGCTAACTCCAGTAATGGCAGAATTATAAGCTTATGTCAATAATAACATCTATTCTCCTATTCCCCAGAAATTTCAAGAAAAATGCCACCTTAACCATATCATAACGTAAACCTCAAATTCATTCATTGATGATTAAGACTATATAATTATATCTCTTTCGTCCTTATAACAGTATAAATAATAGATCTACAATACTTTCATATTCGTTTGAACACATGATTCGTTTCTTGAATAAAATACATGATTTGATGCATTGCTAACTGCTCTCCTATCCGAATGAAAAGATACGCATCCTGGGCAGATGGAATCTTCTTTTGCCTTTGCAACGACAAATTTTTTTTGATTCCTCTAATTGCTGGATGACATGGGCAATAAAATTTGCAAAGGTATCTCCACTGTGGTTTATGGACCTATTTCTCACTGGTCCAATGAATGATTTCTATTTGTTTCTTCCCTCAGTTTTACATGAATTAATCAATTATCTACACTATACTGCAAAGAATTTACTAAGATATACAAGACATATATATTGTCACGTTGGTTTAGCAATTACCTACAAGAAGGATGCTGTATCAGAGAAGCGGATATCCTGACTTGACCGATTAGTAACAACTGGGCTTCCTGAATCATCCAAATCAATTACAGCAATGTCACCTGGCTTGCAATCCCCAGAAAGAAGAGATTCACTCAAGGGATCTTCAATTAGGAGGGTAAGTGCCCTCCTAAGAGGCCGGGCACCATAACTCCTGTCAAATCCTTGTTGGCATACCAAGTCCATGGTTGCTTCCGACACCTCCAGACCAATTCCCAGAGAGAGGAGCCTTTCCTTGACCTCTTGTAGCATCATATTCAATATCCCAAGCATCTGAGATGAAGAAATTGTGCACAGCTCAGACCGGCAATATTTGTGAAGATCAACAATAAGGCTGTGGTGTTCTCGTATTCATTTTAAAGTCTAAGGTTCCAAACTGTTTACATAACTTGCATTATACCCAGTTTGTTGTCCATAGTCAGTAATTGCCAGTTCCAATCTTAGTTCTAAAGAAGTATGCTAAAGACTTTGAAGTTTGAACTACTAATATAAACGAAAGGACTGCTATCAAACAAAACTACATAGTGACAAACCTGAGACTTCTCCAGGGGACGGAATACAACTACTTCATCTATCCTGTTGAGCAACTCTGGACGAAAGTACGTCTTTAATTCTTCCATCACCAATGCTTTCATTCCAGCATATGAAGTTGATTCATCCTCTGCAATCAGGAAACCAATCGAGTTGTGTCTCCCCTTCGCGATGGCAGCAGAACCAACATTAGAAGTCATCACTACCAAGGCATTCTTGAATGATACTCTTCGGCCCTATCAAATCCAACTTCATAGTGTCAGGATTTCTGGTATTCATGATAATTAATAAATACATAATAAAAGAAAATTTAAGCACAACTCAAAATCTTTGAATTCAATGCTAAGCTGAACAAACAACAGCCACATACCTGAGAATCTGTGAGGTGACCATCTTCAAACAATTGGAGAAGAATATTGAATATATCTGGATGTGCTTTCTCTATCTCATCAAGCAGGACAACTGTAAAAGGTCTTTTTCTGATAGCTTCTGTAAGCGTGCCTCCCTCTCCATAGCCTATATAACCTGGGGGTGATCCTATTAACTTGCTTACAGTATGCCGCTCCATATATTCACTCATGTCCAACCTTAGCATGGCTGCTCCCTGCAACAAAGCATCAACGTGCAACAGTAAGCATTTCATATGTTTCTTTTAAAAGGAATTGATATGCAGTCTCTGATAAACTTAGTGAACTCAAATGGGATGCGAACTGCTGTGGCATCAACACAAAACTGCTACTCTTCTAGGTCTTTATCCCACTGTTTGATGAAGCCCTTTGTAGCATCTCTACATGGAAATGTGATGCTGATATCTTCTTTTTCTTTCTTTAATTTTTCAGTTTTCCACTCTAATTGAAATACATTCAATTCTCTCAGCCATTATTTCATGATATCACCTTAAATATGTGATAGTCAGTTGAATTATGCAATTACTTCCACTATTCTCAGGATTCACGTTAATAAGTGCAACCTACCTCCTTTCTGCATGCATGGGACCAGCTATTAACAACAAAACAGTAAGCACAACCCAAGTAATTGTGACGAGCTTTTCAGAACGTTGATTCAAGAATGGTATGTTTTTCAAATAAACAGAAGTCCGATTTTATGTTCATGTCTAAGATGCAAGTCTTTAACTGGAGAAACACAAATTTTGGGCGGTTTCAATGAAAATTGGGGAATTCATATAATGCATAAATTCTTACTGAGCCAAAATAGCAGGCTGCCAAAGCTTTAGTCAGTTCTGTTTTGCCAACCCCGGTCGGGCCACAGAAAAGCATTGCAGCAATTGGCCTACTCGGATCCTTCAGGCCAACCCGGGATCTCTTAACAGCTCGACAAATGGCAGCAACTGCCTCATCTTGACCAACAACCCGTTTCTTAAGCTCCTCGTCAAGACCCACCAGAAGTTTTCTTTCATCAGCAGTGAGCTGGTGTACTGGAATCCCTGACCAGAGTGAAGCAACTGCTGCTATTTCACCAGGTCCAACCACCATGGGTCTGAAAAATAATCAAAGCAGAAGTTCAGTTCAAATCAGTCCAACGACACTCGAGCAATCAGGCTTACAAGTTCCATCCATCTACACAATAAGAAGGCCAATACATACTCCTCATCACCAGATGTCAAAAGTAAAGAGGGTTCCAACTGAAACTTGGTATCATCTTCCATCCTGAGAGCATAATCAGTTTCATTCGGTGTACTTGTCAGGACCTGCTTATACAAAAGGTAAAGAGTTGATGTCATTAGAACATCTACAAGAGGTAATGCACTTTATTTATTTGAACCAAGTACTATATCAGAGCTCAAAAGTGATGCCATTACCACTTCATGCATGGCCTGAACAGCTCTAATCTCTTGCCAGTAATCATCTGGAGACTTTGAAAGTATACAAGTTTGCTGTTCTTTTCTCCTCTTAAAAGCTTCCATACGAGCTTTACTTCCCGCCTCATCAATAAGATCAATAGCTTTGTCAGGAAGATACCTATCCGGAATATATCTTGATGACAGGTGCACAGCAGCATTTATTGCCTCCAATGTGTATTTACATTTGTGATGAGCCTCATATTTATGACGCAGACCCAACAATATCCTAACTGCATCCTCCTATGAATTTTTAAGCAATGTGCATGTATCAGTATAAATACAACCCAATATATATAGATACTTAAAACAAAAAGTCCTTACATATTATAAATACCTGACTGGGTTCATTGATAAGTACGGGCTGGAATCTTCTGGCCAATGCTTTATCCTTTTCAAAATGCATCCTGTATTCATCCATGGTTGTAGATGCAAGACACTGTAAGAAGTGAAATGTTAGTGAACATAATCTATAAAAAAGGTAACCAAACCACTGGATATCTTATGCAACTAAATAACAGTGAAGTATGCTTGACTGAGAGACCATCACCTGTAATTCACCCCTCCCAAGTGATGGCTTCAATAGATTAGCAATGTCAAGACCAGACCCTTTGGTTCCTCGTCCAACTGTGCCCGAGCCAATAAGTGTGTGGACCTCATCGATAAACAGAATGACATTGCCTGCAATGCTGGTTTATCAAACTAAGCCATGATGCAATAATTTACCATCCTGAATACAACTATGCACATTTGCTCACCTGATTTCTTTATCTCCTTAATTAATGTAGTGACACGTCCCTCCAACTCGCCCCTCTCCTTTGCTCCTGATATTAATAGACCTACATCTAAGCACATTACGCGCTTTGTCTGTACATTGAAATGTTATCACTAATCAAATTGTAAGTCAGAGAGAAGAAATGAATGCAACCAAGACTCTAAAAATTACAGATATCATATGATAAATAGTCACAACAATCATTCACGAAAGAATAGAAACCCCACCAAGAGAAAGACAGGAACATTTCCCTCAGCAATGTTAGTCGCCAACCCTTCAGCAATAGCTGTTTTCCCAACTCCAGCTTGACCAAGAAGAATAGGATTATTTTTGGTTCTTCTGCAAAGTATCTGAACAATTCTCTGAACTTCAGTGTCACGACCAATTACAGGATCAATGAGTCCATCACCAGCATGAGCAGTAAGATCCACACAGAATTGATTCAAAGCACTTTTCTCTGTTCAAAATTGAAAGCTACTAACCATTGTTTTCTCTAGTTGTTATTGGAAAATCACTGAAGTAAACAAGGAAAGAAACACAAAAAAGATTCAATTCTTACCTCCTGTTTTCTCAGAGGATCTGGAAATAGTGGCTTTTCCAGGAAAGGATTTTCCATATGTCTGCTTGAATACAGTCGGAGGTTCTCTACCATCTTTGGCAAGCTCTCCTTCAAGTCTGGAGACTGCCACATCTGCCAAGTGGTTTACATTTGCCCGTAATCTGAAATCATGTCAATCTAGCCCCATAAATGAGAAATTACAGTAGATACGTTACCCTCTTAACTTGGATCATGAATGATACCACAAACGATCAACAATGAGAAAAATCTGAATCACTTTGTATACGTATTGAAGCATCATTGATGATGAAAGAGCATTATTGAAAACAATTAGAAAATCATTAAGCAGCAACATTCCTTATTTGTATTCTGTGTTGAACCTGAAATTGTGATTGTTTTCTTTCCACCAATTAATAATGCTAACTAATTCAAATATCTTCTATACATGCATTGTTCCAAAGTTATAAAAGTTGATTCTTGATTGTAATAATAGTCAATTCTTTCATTATAACAATAAGATGTATATATGAAAAGAAAACTAATTCATACAAAAGATTGCCAAGTACAACAATTCCAAGAAGCCATAATCTCATGTAGAAATATCGGCTAAAAATATTTTACTAAAAAGAACAGAATATATGTAATATACCTCTTGAGGACACGACCAGCACTGCCATCATCAACAGTTAACAATCCAATCGCCATATGCTCTGGAGCAATGAAGTTGTGACCCATTGTCCTCGAATACTCTACTGCAGCCTCAAAAACCCGCTTAGTACTCACAGAAAACGGCACATCTGTAGCCGAGATGACCGAAGAATTCATTGAATTCTTATCATTCTCCTTATCCCTATTGCTATCATTCCAAATGCTCCGAACAACCTCACGAGCCATGGCAATTGTAATTCCAGAACCCAAAAAGCCACCGGGGGTTGAATCCTCTGCAATCAATCCCAACAAAAGGTGTTGTGTGAACACCATATCATTGCCTAGATCTTTCGCTTCTCTTTGAGAGAACATCACCGCCTTAATTGATCTCTCTGTAAACCGTTCGAAAACCCCACAAACTACAGTCGACTGAGATCGTTTTCGAGATGGGGATTGGTATATAACGTTCTTGGAGGTCTTGTGAGAGGGTATTGATATACCAAAATAAGATGAACTACTACTACTACTGCAGGTGGTGGTGGTGGTGGAAATAGAGGAGGAAGAGGGAGTGTAAACTGGGAATGTGGACAGGGTCTTTTGGCATCGGTGGCGGCGGCGGCGGCGATCGTGGCCGTCAACGGCGGTGTCGAATTTTGCAGAAACACGCCGACGGTGAAGGTTCAATGGCCCAAAATCAATCCTGGAGTGAATTGAAAGGGGCGACGAGCATGAGGCTGATGAAACCTCCATCTGGGTATACGAAAACTTGTAAATACTACTAGAACACTGCAGAACCGAAGGTCAAAAAGAAGAAGAAATTGTTGGCTGTCGGAGTATTATATCTATATAAAGCTATATGTATATATATGAATGAAAGTTCATTTGTGAAATGGGAGAAAGAATTGTGGGTAGGAGAAGGAAAGGAAGGAATCGGAGGAAGGAAGGAGGAAGGAAGAAGACTACACGTCAAAGCGAGCGCCACAGCCACGTTTTCTTGGTGTAAAACTCAAAATTGTCAAGTGGTCTGCGTTGAACTGTTTGATTTGAGTCTGGGAGAAAGGTTTGGGCGGAGAGTGAAGACACGCAACCTCTAGTCTTGAGCAGGGGCCGATGCACGTGCGGCGAAATGACCTTTTGGTCGCTATTATACTTTTCAAATCGGTGAAAGGAAGACTAAAGCCGCTGAACCTGTGTTGTTGCTATATTCCGATGGTCAAATCTCGTTGTTACGGACAGTTTTCGGAACATGTTTGGATCAATTTTACTCGAATCCCCCGCATTTTACTAATGGTCTATTTAATATGATAAAAAAATACGAGAATAAAAAATTGAAGGGATAAATAAAATATTATATTTGATAAATAAGGAAAGTAAGAAGGATAGAAAGGTTGATGGATTAATTTTCTTTTCAACTCACCAAAATTAATCCTTCTAAAATCGGAAAAAAAGTGAATGAAAAATTAATTATTTGTGTTAAAATGTATCTTATTTGTCTATATATTATGTATATATTAATTTTATATAAAAATATAATGATAAAATATGTATATATATATTCTAAAAAATAAAATAAATTAAAAAAATATATTTTTTTCATCTTAACTAGAGGTAAAATTTTTTGATTAAACACGATTACACGACTCGAATTCAACACAAATTTTACGACACAAATTTGATTAAAACTCGACACGAACTTGAAAATGACCTGACACGCGAACAAGAAATATAAAAGGCTCATAATTTTACGACTCAACACGAATCTGACACGGCATAATTCGATTGTCAACTCTAATCTTAGACATCACAAAAAAAAAATTAAAAAAAATTAATCATTTTTATTTTCCATCCATTAAACCAAACACAAAAGAAGAAAAATGTATCATTCCTACTTCTCATTTTTGAATGATAAAAATTGTATTTCTCTTACTTTCTATCATTTCTATAAAGCGGAGCATAAATAATACGGGCATCTCTCGACAATAAGAATATCACACGACATCCCCGGGAGAAAATATTGGGTGTAACAATGATATCACGTTATCATTATCACGTAGTGTCATTATTTAATAAAAATATAATAAATAAGCAAATAGATCTTACATATTATAATAATTACTTCTCCATATCATTTGATAACCAGGGGCGGCTAAAGGTAAATTAAGGCCTACAACGGTAATACTAAATGAGACTTTTTTTATTTTCAGTATTATTTTTTTTAAAAAAAAATATTTTTAATTTTTTTTAAGTGAGAGAGGAGGTTGTAATACTTTATTTTTGTTTTTTAAGGGATAGAGAGATTTTATTTATTCATTTTTAAAATTTTTTATTTTTGAGTTTCTAATATTATAGATTGAATGGTAGGCTCAAATTATTGAAATTATATTTTTTTAATTGGGTTTAAATTTTTTAAGGCCTTTTTATAAGGCATAAAATTTTCATGGATTTAAATTTTTTATGTGGACTAGTTATGTATCCATAATTATAGGGCTTAAAGCTCATACTTTTTTTAATACTATTGGGCCGACCCTATTGATAATCATCTAATTTCTGAAAATAACTATCAAGTGAAGTTTATTTTATCTATTTGTAACTTTCTTATTGAACAATGTTACGCACATTTAAAAAATTAACTTAAAAAATCCACTTGATGATTTAACTATTATATTGATCATTGATTTAACTGTGGGTCTTAACATTTATTGAGATTTACTATCTATTTAATGGTAGCAATCAAGTCAAATTTTTAAGTTAATTTTTTTAATTTTATTTAGCATTTGTTTATCATTAAATGATGACACCATGTAATGATTATGACATGATGACAATGTTATATCCAATTTTTACTCCGACCCTCGACATTTATGATATGCAACAATTTACACCCAATTTTTACTTTGACTCATGTGAACTAGATATTGGTGAGGGGCTGAATGTCTAATTTGTTTTTTGTGGTGCCATGACGGTAGACTCGACTATCTTAAATCAATAACTATAATTTAAACTGAACATTCTATAACGAGCGAAAACTTCAAGATAAACTCTAAAATGCTATCTTTGAGGAGCCTGACCACCCTTTTAACTAGTAAAAAAAAAAAAAAGCAACTTTGTTTGTAACAGATGTTAGAAACCCAAATGGAAAAGAAAGGCATTATCTAAATAATGTGTTATCTTTTCTAGAATTGTCATCAAATTTAGCTAATTCGTTGATTATGTCAAATTTAGTCCTTAATAGCAATGTCAATCACTTGTATAAGGTACGTCAAATTAAATCTTCAATTTTGTTACTAAATGCTATTAACTTCCTTTTGTTTGTTACTAAAATTGTATCTCAAATCAAATCTTTAATTTGTTACTAAATTTCAAAGAAATCTAATTAGTTTCCTTTAATTACCACCACCACCAGCATTTTAAACAACCCACCACCATCTATCATAATTCGACACGATACGATTAATAGACAAAAATTGACATGATTTTAAATAAGTATGAGTGACATTTTAATGGGTTCAAATAGTAAACCAGTTGACCCATCAAACTTGTTTATTAAACGAGTCGAGTTAGGATTAAGACCAATCAACCTACTGTTTAAATAAAATTAATATAATTATTATTATTATTATTCAAAACATAAATAACTAGCCCGAAGATGTCAAAATAACAAAAATATTTCCCAACCCCTAACTCTAGCTCTTCTTCTTTGGTCTGTCCTCTGCCTCCACCATTGCCTCCATCCTCCATGACTCGCGTCCCTCTCTCTCTCTCTCTCTCTCTCTCTCGTCGCTCATCCTGTCAGTGGTCGCACGCTGCTTGCCTCTCGCGTTTGCAAAGTTCTTTGAGATGAAGAGGATTCCGTAACTTTTTCCTCTCTGAGTCTTCAAGATTGATTAAGTGTGCCATATTACAATTTGTTGGGTAATTGTTACTGTCTCATGTTGTGGATGATCTCAGGTTTGAACTTATAGATTGCTTACAAAGTTACAATGGAGTTTTAAACTCAGGTTTTAACCTTGAGCAATGTTAAGTAAACCAAATTTTCATCCCAAATCAATAAAGATTAATGGATCGGTCGTTCCCGTTTAAAAAATTTGATGAGACTTACTCATCTAATGGTTCTCGATCATTTGAGGTGTAAATTTGAGTTACGTAGTATTTGTCTTTGAGCTTATAGGTTATTGTGTTAAATGGTTTACTAAGTGGGCTTTTAAAAGGGTTAGTGTGGTAACCCGACCCCATCCAATTCAATTCGTTTAATTAAACGGGTTAAACGAGTTGTATTGTATAACTTGTTTATTAAATAATTTGTGTTTGTGTAGAGATTTTTTTACCTAAACATATGTTGTGCACAGGTTTATTAGTTTTTCACCCGTCACCCGTTTAACTTGATACGTAACAATTTGATCCTACACAGTGGACACTCATATCCACTCTCAACGCAAACACCAAGATTTATATGCAATGGAGGTAAACTAATTGTTATATTAAAATCATAGCGTTAAAACTATTCAATTTATCACAAATATGTTGATATGTCCATACAGGAAAACCAACCAATCAATCAATATACATTATTTCTAATATGATTTATATACAGTCAAATTTTAAATATAAAAATATTTAGTTATAAGAATATGAAAGAAAATTTTAATCCATTACAAAACAAGCAAACTTGAATTTCAAGAGATCAGTCAAAAATAATTTAATCAATTATGATTAACTCTAGAATTCAAATATAGAAATACAATTCCATAAGAGATTTATGACAACTGTAGCAATTTGAAAAAAAATCAAATCTTTCATATGGTGTGCGGATGTATTATCTTTTCTCCCGAATTTTTAATTTATTGATTAAATTCTAATTACCCACGCTTGCTTGACATTCAAACTTATAAAAGGAATTTATGAAAAAAAAATTCCTTCTATTTTCTGGAATATAAAGAGTAATGCTATTTGATGGTATAATGATGTGACAAATTAAATGTTTTCAATATTACAATCCTAATGGTATTAAAGGAGATATTGATCGAATAACTTCAAAAGAGTTATAACTTATTTATTAAAATTTGTAGTTAAGCATTAAAATTTTATTTTTTAGTATAATATCTCTTTTTATTGTCGTACATTTACTGTCATTCTAGATGCAACTCTTAGAATTTTTCATCAAACTACATTACTTAATACATTTTTTAGATCTAATTTTTTATATCTCAAAAGTATTATTCAAGTATAAAAGTACCAACGTGTTTTTGATCCAATGATATTTTTTATCTTACGAAAATTTTGACTTCTTAAAGTCAAGGGTTCAATATACTCATAAATTTTTAAAATATTTTAATGGGAGCAAATTTTAAAAAATCTTAAAATTTTTAAAATTTCAAACATACCTTAAAAAATTCAGGATTGCACTGGGACAGTTGCCCCCGGTGTAAATCCGTCCGACTCACCAAAAACCCTCCATTACCCATTGAGATCACCACTCAACCGTTTTCAGTTCACCGACCCCCCACTTTGCACAGCCCACTATTAACGACCCCCACCATTCAACCCACTTCTCTCTATCCTTCCCTCTATTTTTGTTTGCTTTTAGGACCCCAAACTCAAGGACATCAAACTGGGTTAAGGTTCAACAACATTGTGATTTTGACTAGATCGTGTAATGACGATCCACCACCACTTCTATTCTCTTTATCTCTCTTCCTTTGTTGAAACACGCAACCACCACCACCTCACTACATAACTAAAACCTTACAACACAATCAAAACCACCTGTTAACTGACTCAGGCATTGGAGGTAGTTCGATAGGGACCACACTGATCCTTTACTTTTGAATTCCCTTTACAGGACTAGAGTCGTACAGTTGTCGCATCCTGAGAGCCAGACACTGAACTCATAACCCAATGACCATAACTTGACATGCTGATTTGATTTACTGATTGATCCATTAGTTGGCGTCATTTGTGGGAACGACAGTTTCCCAATTTTTTCAAAGCACAGATTTGTAACCCTCTTTAAGCCCTTAGCTATGACCTCTCCACTAGGCTCGAGTAAAAATCTCTCAACCGGCAAAAATGCGATAGCCGATAACCCATTTGGAAA